ACCACAGCTCAAAAGCATCAATCTTCCTTCGCTCAGCCTTCCCTAAGGTCCAGCTCTCACATCCGTAGGTTACTACGGGGAATACCATGGCTTTGACTATGCAGATCTTTGTTGCCAGTGTGATGTCTCTACTCTTTACTCGCTTATCCAACATAAACAGGCTGGCAGAATGTTGGATAAGCAAAAATGTTTGATAATAAGGAGGGATTAAGTAAAAGTCTATTAAACGTCAAATTATGTTATGGTTTTACAAATGAAGCACCAAAACATAATGTTTGACAACAAATCGACAGAAAAAGCAGTTCAATACATGGTAACGTTACATAGTAATTACTGTATTTACTAATTTAGCACCAAAACATCGCAATACATTGAAACAGCTGTGGGTCTGGATGGAAGGCAGACTGCATTGGATAATACAGAATGTTAGATGAGCGAAGGCTGCATAAGCGAGACTCTATTGTAAAAAGAAGTTTTTAAAATTGGGGAAAATATTTCAATAATTGTCGGGAGAAAGCATAAAAATACCAGCCAAGCCTCTAAGTTTTTGCTTGGTTCACAGAGACATTCCTTTTCCCTTACTTCTCCAGAATTGATTTTTCAAAGTGTATCCAGAAAATTGGGAAAAATGGGTGACAAGAGTGCATGAGGCAGGGCAAAGGCTGATTGAGCTCGGCACATACCTTTCTTAGAGTCACATTCCATAGATCGAAAGACTCTCAAATGGGATTTTGAGCCATTGTTCAAGTTCAGCCAGGCAAAACAACAATAAAGAGAGGGGACGGTGCTTCTGCTTTACAGGCAACACAGAACTGTGGGCAGCAACTTGGGCCCCACTGTTATTTTATCCACTAAACACGAAAAACAGGAAAAGAGGCCCAAAGGAAAAAAAGAAAGGGAAAAAGACTTCCCAGAAATAATAAAGCAGAGCCAGGATATTGCGATCCTAATGGGTTATCTTCTCTGGCCATCATCACACACCAAGAAGCTAAATCTAGAATCTTCCATTTAGTAGGAATATTACTATTGTTTAAGTATTAATGTTCTGGAACGGCTGTTCCAGGGGCTCCAATTTTGTGTTCTACACTGAAGTTTGTTCATAGTCCTAAGTTTCAGGGACTTTGCGGATAGGTGGCTTCCTTTGGCTGCATTCATAGGGCAAGCCACCTGTCAATTATAGTTAGGATCCCTGGTCCCACCCCTATCTGGGTTTTTTGGAGGGAAGGGGCCATTTTTCAGTTAGTCTCAGCAAAGGAAGTCAATGCAGAGGATGTATACAGACGTCCTCCTGTACAAAGGCTTCGTCCCTTAAGACTTCCTGGGGGAGAACAGTCTTAAGAGCCTCTAAAGATTCCCAAAGGTTCCGGGGAAACAGCCTTACAGCCCTGAGGAATTCCGGAGGGAATAACAGCTCTAATCGTCAAGATCTCCAGCTAAGTGACTACAGGCCTGCTGGTACGTCTGCTCGGTTCTGAGACGCAGTTCAGCCGGTAGTGGATTCAAATCAGTCAGGTTTAGGTTCACAGTAGCCTGGGAGGAGCTAAAAAAGGGGAATTTTCCTTTGAACAAAGTTATTGAAGATAGTGCCTGTTCCCTGTGGACAAGTTTGAGAGAACTGGTTTTTTGCCAAGAAAGCTTTACAATTCCTGTTTGTTCATCAATAAAAGACTGTTTTATTTAAGCTCAAGCCTTCTAAAGACTGTTTAATGAGGGAAATTTCTCTAAAGGCTCCTTTTCGGGGGCCCTGGCTTCCCGCTGGATTCAAGCCATACATCCTCTCTTAAAAGCACTTCATTTCAGGTCCAGCAGCGACAGAACAATTAATTTTAAATATAATCGCTTATATTTAGCAGAAACACAATTATGGGAAATAGAACAAGACATATCTGTAACAGTTTCATAGTTGCCTTTGTTTAAGGAGGGCAAGTCAGGAGTTATTGTTTTATTTTATGTTTTATTACTATTTTTTTAAAGAGGTGTAGTTGTTGGTTGGCAGGGATGAGAGGAGGTAATAGGGTGGGATATTTTGGGGTTATTTTTGTATGGGATCTTTTTGTTAATATACTTTAATGTACTTTATTATTAAAGGGAACTCCGAGCGGATTGCAGCATTTTACATACATAGGCAAACATCCAATGCCCTTACAGTCATATACAATGAAACACACAAACACAAACAAAGGCAGAGGCTTCTCCTTTAATTTCCGGTGCTCATCTCTGGCTTAGGGGAGAAGCTTTTCTCCTTTCGAAACCAAGGAGCCTGCACTGACATCTCCTGGTTGTGTAACCAGCAAGATTGCTTGGAGCGTCTCTTTGCCTTTTCCCACCAAAGCGGTACCTATTTATCTACTCACATTTGCGTGTTTTTGAACTGCTAGGTTGGCAGGAGCCGGAGCTGATAGACGGGAGCTCACCTCGTCTCGCAGATTCAAACTGCCAACCTTTAGGTCAGCAGTTCAGCCAACCGTGGGTTTTTAAAACATACATCACATCTGTGCCCTTGGTTTGCTTCTGATACGACAAATAAATAATAGTATAAATATTATTATATTTGTTATTAATAATAATAAAACTTTATTCATAGAATCATAGAATCAAAGAGTTGGAAGAGACCTCATGGGCCATCCAGTCCAACCCCCTGCCAAGAAGCAGGAATATTGCATTCAAATCACCCCTGACAGATGGCCATCCAGCCTCTGTTTAAAAGCTTCCAAAAAAGGAGCCTCCACCACACTCCGGCAGAGAGTTCCACTGCTGAATGGCTCTCACAGTCAGGAAGTTCTTCCTCATGTTCAGATGGAATCTCCTCTCTCTTGTAGTTTGAAGCCATTGTTCCGCGTCCTAGTCTCCAGGGAAGCAGAAAACAAGCTTGCTCCCTCCTCCCTGTGGCTTCCTCTCACATATTTATACATGGCTATCATATCTCCTCTCAGCCTTCTCTTCTTCAGGCTAAACATGCCCAGCTCCTTAAGCCGCTCCTCATAGGGCTTGTTCTCCAGACCCCGCTACCATCTCCCCAAGGGACTCAGTGCGGCTAACCCATTGTGCCACCACGGCTCCCGTATTTGTGTCCATATCTGTTCATTTTTTTATTTTTTATTAATTATGAAAATTTTATAATTTCCAAAAAGAGGATACATGCCTTGGGCTTTTTTAACCAATATAATAACCTTCTGAGCCTTGCAAGGCGGGGGAAAGAAAGGCTCTTCCATTTAGATCAGACTAATTGAAAAAGGAAATTGAAAGGCTTCCCAAACAGTTGCTTGGGAAACGTGCAAAAAAGTTCAATGAATCAGAGCCAGTCCAGCCATCGGACTAATAAGGAATTAATCCTTAATGGCAGCCCTCAAGTCAGTGCCAACCTAAAAGCTCGCCAGGCATTTCCTGACACTGCGATGCTGTCCTTGGCCATTCTAAAGGCCACACTGCAAAACCAGTCTGTCGTTTTGATAGTTTTGGGAAGAGAGCAAAGCTGAGCTCTAGTTGCTAGGCATTTTTTCTCAACAAATAATTGAATCCTGAAGATTCATACTGGGTTCTGGATGGTGGGTATCATCAGGTTAAAGAGATGTAGTCATTAGCAGAAGAGGGATAGTTATTGCCCATTCTGAGGCTGCATCTACACTGTAGAATTAATGCAGTTTGACACCGATTGAACTGCCATGGCTCAATGGAATCGTGAGATTTGAAATCTGGTTAGGATCTGGCACTCTGGCAGAGAACCTTAAAAACCGTGGAAAACTACAACTCCCAGGATTCCATAGCATTGAGCCATGGCGGTTAAAGTGGTGTCAAACTGCACAGATTCTGTAATGTAGATACACCCTAAGCATAATCTGATTTTAAGCTTGTCTAGATATTTGATGGTCTATCACTCACATTTAAGCCTTTTTGGGTCCCATTCAGGGAAAAAAGCATTTGTTGATGTTGTTGTTGTTAAATCATGATCATAATTTTGGTATTTTGTCATAATTTGGAAACCACTTTGAGAGTGTTATTGTAAAACCAAAACCAGACAACTTTATCATCAGCTCTCTGTATCTATGGATGCTGTATCCATAGATTCAACCATCCATGACCTGAAACGTTGACCTTGATTCTGCTTTTTTTGTATGAGAGATGTCAGTTTACTACACCATTGTATATAATGGACTTTAGCATCCACATATTTTGGTATCAATTGTGGAGTCTTGAAGCCAAACCAAAGGGCCCATCGTATTTAGGTCTTCCCCGTTCTGTTTTCGGAGATTATATGAAACGGACCACCGAATATTTCAAATCATTTTCGCTCAAACTGATTCAGGCCCAAGTGTAATGCTTAGGAACAAAGTTAGGATTCTGTGGGGAAAATGGGGGAAAGTTAGGGTCTTCTGAAGAGTTCAATGACTGAAAATGATTGGGAACCACTAAGCTAGAAGTCCTCAGGAAAAAGGCTACAACTCTGACATATATTTCACTTATACAAACATAGACGCATACAATGAAGATGAAACCTTGTAAGCATTCCCACTTGATCATAAATTACATATGTAAACCAAAAATCATTCGCTCTAGCAATCATCAATACATTCGTAACATGAACTAGCAAGCTTATTGATAATTCATTAATCCAGTCTTGCTTAAGAAAAAAGATATGGAAATGTTTTTTAATGTTCTGCCTGACCTTGGGACCTAATTCTGTCTCCTGTTCTATTTCTTTTCTCTTAGTAACACAAAGACAAGCTTGAAGGTTCACTTTATTATTTCATGCAACTCATTATCAAAGCAGAGATGGGTACAAAGAGAAAGTTGTACTCCTAAGATTTTTCTCAAAAAAAAATTCTCTAAAAGCATCCAACGGATGCAAGCATTATAATCATTTCTTTAAAAACTAATGCTTCCTACTAATAAGATATAAAGAACTTATATTTCATCTGTATTAACACACACACACACACACACAAGTATCCATGCACTTGGGTTAGTTAGAGAAAGGTTGTGAAAATGGCTCTTTACAATACCTAAAAATAGCTTGGTGTTTCTCCTTTTTGGTAAAGCTCCACCAGATGCCCCTGTTACCTTCTGGAAAGAAAGAAAAAGGGGAAAGATGAAAAAGAAGAAGACGACGAAAGAAAAGTTAGAAGTCTCAACTCTTGTCACTACAAGGGAAAACAACCCTCACATGCTCGAGGAAAAAAAGAGGAAACGAAGTAAAAATTTGCTGAATCTGAACACAGGCAGTCCCCGAGTTACAAACACCTGATTTAGAAATTACTCATAGTTAAGAACAGGGGTGAAACAACAGAAAGTGAGAGAAATCTACCCCAAGAAAGGAAATGCACTCCTGGAAGGGTTGTCACAGTGGGAAAAGGTATGTCAACAGAAGCTTTATCACCAATCCTTGTTTCCATAACAAACCAAATTTTTCAAAATCCAATTCTCACAGGGACAGAAAGTGAGGTGAAATCTTCTGAACAAGGACATAGACAGCAAAATAAACACCACAGGGGTGATAACCCTTCCCGATGCTAAACAAATTCAACTTAAAAACAAACCTACAGAATCTATCTTGTTCATAACTTGGGGACTGCCTGTACTCTCATGTGGAATGTGCGCGATTTACACAATGGATGGATCTGAAATCTGTTTCTATCCCGTTTCAAAAGGTTGTCACACAGGCAAAGTTAAAGTAATATCATCATCATTAATCATATCTGACACTGAACAGCTAAGGATATTTTCAATGGCGTGTAGAAGCAGGGGATTCAGGGCTTTAACAGACTGTAAGGAGAGGCGATGTCAACAGCTGCACTCTTTCTTCTTTGCCCAACAAGCTGCAGGCCCTAAAACTCCTTCCCCTACAAGTTTCAGAAGACTTTTCTTTTTGTCTCTAGACCTGTGTTCTTAACTTTTTTGGCGAGTCACACATCACTTCGAGAATTGGTTGTCAGCTATTGATTTCCTCTACTGAAAAAAATGCATTTGAAACCACTTTTCAAAGTACAGTACGGTCTTGCTTATCCAATCTTCGCTCATCCAACATTCTGTATTATCCAACGCAGTCTGCCTGCCACCCAGATCCACAACTGTTTCAATACATTTTGGTGCTAAACTCATAAATACAGTAATTATTACATAATGTTACCATGTATTGAACTGCTTTTTCTGTCGATTGGTGGTAAAGCATGATGTTTTGGTGCTTAATTTGTAAAATCATAACGTAATTTGACATTTAATAGGCTTTTCCTTAATCTCTCCTTATTATCGAACATTTTAGTTTATCCAACAATCCGAGATGCTACGGTAATAGAAAGGAAGCTGAGAAGGAAAATGTTTCAGTACATACTAATTCATAGACCCCTGAACTCTATATCCATGGAAGCAGATTAGACTGAGGATGGTTCTACACTGCCATATAATTCAGATTATCAAAGCAGGCAATCCAAATTATCTGCTTTGAACTGGATTATATGAGTTTACACTGCCATATAATCCAGTTCAAATCAGATAATCTGAATTTTATATGGCAGTGTAGAAAGGGCCTGAATTGTTTTGATCAGGGCTTTGTTTCCAGAGAAGTCACAGAACACATCCAAATAATAGACCTAGCTGTTCCTAGCTAACTTCTCTGGAAACAAAACCCTGATTCAGGCCCCTTCTACACTGCCATATAAAATTCAGATTATCTGATTTGAAGTGGATTATATGACAGTGTAGACTCATACAGGTTGGAGGAACCCAGCTAGGTTGGGTTCCTCCAACCTAGCTGAGATTTAAGAGAATATACATGTTAACACATCTGGAGGACACCAGGAAAGGAATGCTGCCATTAACTTTGAACTGGTTAAACAATAATTTATTTTCCTCTCAAAATCCATATACTGCAGTCCTATGAGATGCCGAAAGCTAAACACTAGTAACAGTGCACTTCACACTATCATTGGACTGAGACATCACGATGCTGCCCTGAGTGAGTCATGGAAGAACTGTTATAAAACCGATGTATATTTGTAGCACTCCTTGAAACATAAAGTTTGGGAACCAATGACATGAATTTCCCAATACTTTGCCTCTGTAGGCCATCACACATTATTACAGTAGGCCTTCCACTTTATGGAGGTTAGGGGTGGAAGATCCTTGTAGAAGGCCAACTGTACCATAAACCATTCAAAACGTTCAGAAAAGTTTGAGTCTAAACTTGAAGCAAACTAGGACTGATGGACATTACAGCAACAAGCATCCAAAAGAAAGAAAGTGTGTCTGAGAGAGATCTCCACAAAACAACTAGAAACTTAATTAGAGCCTGCAAGAGTTTTGTAGTCCACCATAAACCAAGAAAACTGCTTTATGATGGCCTGATTTCTATAATTAATTTTCTGTAAAGCTGAATCAATGACATTTACCGATGGATTGATTCAACCATTGCTTCAATGGGTTTACTCCACTTTGGGCTATCCAACAGGGTTCAAGTCAACATAGGGCACTAAAGAACTCCACCACTTTGAACACATGAGTCATACATGTGTTTACTCACATCGTTTTTTTTTTCAACGCAACTACACCAGCCAGACAACTTTTGCCTTGACAGTGAACTATTCAAAGAAGTTCTATGGTATCTGAGGTCGGATCTGCCTGTTGTATTGACGCAAAAGCCACTAACCTCCTAAAGCACTCACATAATTATTTTTAAAATACAAGCTTCTAAGATTGAGTCTCATATTAAATCTTCTTTTTTAGATAAGAACTTTCACACAAATGAAGAGCACAAAGTAATTCCTTACTTTGATTTTATGGTCCAAAACTGTATCTAGCATTTGGTGTGTTATCCAACATAGAACTCCAAAGAAACACAAACTTTTAAAAAGGAAATACACAATATTTAATTAATTATATAATTGAGGGATACATTCAATAATGAATCCCAACTAAAGGAGACTCGCTGATTCAATAAAATGTAAGGAACCGGGACTGGGAAGCTGGGAGTCAGCTTCATTAAGATCACTAGTGACCGAAAGGTCTTGAGTTCGAAGCCAGCCCGGGTTGGAGTGAGCTTCCGACCAATTTCTGTAGCTTGCTGTCGACCTTTGCAGCCCAAAAGACAGTTGCATCTGTCAAGTAGGAAATTTAGGTACCACTTATGCGGGGAGGCAAATTTAACTAATTTACAAGGCCATAAAAATCTCCAGCAAGCATGCGAAGAATAAGGAAGTACTTCATCAATGTCACAAATGGTTGGTGAAGGGACAGCTCCCCTGGTGGCCAGGATACGCTCAAGAAAAGCTGGAATGTTAAATTGCCTCTGTGTCTGTCTATATATGTTGTGTGTCTGTGGCACTGAATGTTTGCCATGTATATGTACATTGTAACCCGCCCTGAGTCTCCTGCGGGGTGAGAAGGGTAGAATATAAATACTGTAAATAAATAAATAAATAAACTATCTACATTTTCAGTAATTCAATGGGTCTACTTTGATTGGGACTATTGAGTGGAAGTATCCCTAAGACTCCATGTGAATTCCTCCAAATAACATTTCCCATAATTCTCTTTCCCTATTCATGTGTGTGTGTGTGTGTGTACAAACACATGCATACATACATACATACATACATACATACATACTAGGCTTGGGCGGTTTCGTTCGTTAATTTCGTAATTCGTTATTAATTCGTATTTAAATTAGCTTACGATCCAATATTGAGCCATGCAGGACTATAATTAAAAATCGAAACAATTTTTCCAATTTATTTCGTATTGTTTCGAAATTGTTTCGTAATTGGTTCAAATTTGTTTCGAAATTGTTTCGTAATTGTTTCGTAATTATTTCCGTATGTCTGGTGCAAGTTTTATAGTTGTTGTTTGTTTTATCAGTGATAAAAAATAAATTATCACACCAACAGTCAACAACAGAGGGAGAGGGAAGCTTCAGAAGTTCCCCCTGTCCCATTTGGAGGGTTTTTTTAGCATATTGCGCAATCGCGTCCGCCATTAACGAATCGATTCATAATTTTATGAAATTTCGTATATTTCGAACTTTTTTAAAGGAAAATTTCGGAATTCTTTAAAAAAACGAAATGCAAGGGCCCCCCTAAAAACGAAACGAGTTTAGAACCAAATTTTTCCGTGGTTACCCAAGCCTAATACATACATACATATATACTAGGCTTGGGCGGTTTCGTTCGTTAATTTCGTAATTCGTTATTAATTCATATTTAAATTAGCTTACGATCCAATATTGAGCCATGCAGGAATAGTGTGAGGAGTAAATTAGATTCGAAACAATTTTTTAAATTTATTTCATAATTATTTTGTAATTATTTCGTAATTATTTCAATTATTTCGTAATTATTTTGTAATTATTTCGTAATTATTTTCGCATGTCTGGTGCAAGTTTTATAGTTGTTGTTTGTTTTATCACACCAACAGTCAACAACAGAGGGAGAGGGAAGCTTCAGAAGTTCCTCCTGTCCCATTTGGAGGTTTTTTTAGCATATTGCGCAATCGTGTCCGCCATTAACAGATCGATTCGTAATTATACGAAATTTCATATATTTCAAAATTTTTAAAAGGAACATTTTGGAATTATTTTAAAAAACCAAACGCAAGGGCCCCCTAAAAGCAAAACGAGTTAGAACCAAATTTTACCCAAGCCTAATATATACCAAATGATTGTGCTGCTTGCAAAGCAAAACTCTAGATGGGGATGGACAAAGTGCATTCCTCTCTCTGCTCTATAAAATATAACATCAACTCTATAAAACTACTGGGTAAATGCTGGGAGTTGCCTTCCAACAAAATCTGATGAGCTGCACTTTCTTCAACTTTACAAACAACCTGGAGGTATCGGACCATATCTGATCTTGGAAGGTAAACGGAGTGAAGATGGTCAGTACTTGGATGGGAAAAGTCCAAGAAATACCACCTGCTGCAGGTTGCATCTCAAAGAAAAGAAAAAGCAAACCACCTCTGAGTCTCCTTCCTCAAGAAAACCCTATTGGATCAACATAAATAGATAGGAAACTTGAAGGTATACAAATACACAATGACCGGGCCTGTTATTTTCATCTTCCAGAGTGACTCCTCAA